CGACCTCGAGACCTTTTAGATAGATACTATGAACGCTTTCCTGAATAGCCAATTAGACTAGGACGTTTTCTGCCGGTATCCACCAGGCCTAGGGTCAACTGGTAAGATATTAAGATTGAAACGTGTAGTGTATGGTCTAAGGATCTCTGGTAAGAAATGGGAAGGGGATATTAGAAAGGTGCTTTCTACTATTAGCCTCCGCCCTTGCCTAGAGGATCCTGCCCTATATACTAATAGCCACGTTATTATGATAGTGTTCGTTGATGATTTCCTGGCTATATACTATACATCCCAAACCGACCATGCTAACTGCATTCGACAATCTCTCGAGGAGAAGTTCGAGATGAAGTATATTGGTGAACTCAGCTAATTCGTAGGAATTCGAATCACACGTTACCGACTATCTCGAAAGACCTAGCTAAGCCAAGGTGCCTATATAGAGAAGATTGCTAGCAAGTTCAACCTTCTAGCTAGGAAACCTCCAGCCACGCCCTTACTATCTAACCTTTCCGGCATTCTCTATCCTACCGAACACCCTCCGAATCCTAGGTTGGTCAACCTATACTAGCAGAAGTGTGGCTCAACGCTCTACCTAGTAATTTAGACTAGGCCAGAGACTACCTTTGCTAACCAATTGCTTACTCGCTCGCTTATACGCTGCACTGACCGCTATCTCGAGGCCGTTAACCACCTAATCTTATATCTCTATGGGACGAAAGACCTAGCAATCTGTTTTGATGGCCAGAAAGAGACAACTACATATACCGCCTACTCAGACGCTAGCTTTGCTGATAATGCTAACCGTAAAAGCTCTGAAGGTTTTCTCTTTTGCCTGTTTGGTGGCCCTATCGATTAGAAGGCTAGGAAACAAAAGACTGTCACTATATCGACCACAGAAGCTAAATTACTTGCGCTTAGCTACGCGGCTAAGCAATCCTATTAGATGAGACGCTTATTCAAATTCATCCGATTCGACCCTGGCCACTAGGATATGATATAATACGATAATAAGCAGACGATTGACCTCCTAACCAGAGAGAGATCTATCTTCTAGACTAAGCTTCGATATATGGATATTCATTAGTTATAGATTCGCCAGGAAGTTCAGGCGAAACGCCTACGTATTAAATAGCTGAATTCGTCCGACCTACCTGCTGATGGCCTGACTAAGCCACTTAGCCGCCAGAAACATAAGATCTTTGTGAGACAGATAGGTATGGAGTACTTACCACACGACCTTATTTAGTTGCTTTTATCTCTAGCTCATCAGTCCTCCGATCTAAAGACCTGAGGGGGTGTGTCAGCCTATGTGGGTGTGTGGGGGTATATGCTTATGTGTGTGTGCTTATGTGTTGCCTGAGTGCCCGGTAGCCTGCCGGGCCGGACCATTGTTTTTCCCCTGCAGAAAGCCCCTCTATATGCATCTCTTTAACAGAGATATCGACCATGGCCTAATTTGCTATTTGACTAAGGATCCCGACGTCCTTTCTACACATTTCTATCCTGCATTAAGATCTATCAGATTATTAGATCTCTGCCCTATTTCCTTGCTGCCTAAACCACTGCAAATCGTGTATTTAAACGCTCGTTTACACTACTTTTTAGCCAGCAGTTTAATCGACTTTATTGTTCTTAAGATATTCTTTCCTTTCCTAGACAGTAGGATCCTATGACTAAGAGGAAGCTACTGCCTAGTCCCCTTTCGTCCTATGTGGATCAGCCCCCGATACACTAGGATCTGTNTATTAAATAGCTGAATTCGTCCGACCTACCTGCTGATGGCCTGACTAAGCCACTTAGCCGCCAGAAACATAAGATCTTTGTGAGACAGATAGGTATGGAGTACTTACCACACGACCTTATATAGTTGCTTTTATCTCTAGCTCATCAGTCCTCCGATCTAAAGACCTAAGGGGGTGTGTCAGCCTATATAGGTGTGTAGGGGTATATACTTATATATATATGCTTATGTGTTGCCTAAGGGCCCGGCAGCCTGCCGGGCCGGACTATTGTTTTTCCCCTGCAGAAAGCCCCTCTATATGCATCTCTTTAACAGAGATATCGACCATGGCCTAATTAGCTATTTGACTAAGGATCCCGACGTCCTTTCTACACATTTCTATCCTGTATTAAGATCTATCAGATTATTAGATCTCTGCCCTATTTCCTTACTGCCTAAACCACTACAAATCGTGTATTTAAACGCTCGTTTACACTACTATTTAGCCAGCAGTTCAATCGACTTTATTGTTCTTAAGATATTCTTTCCTTTCCTAGACAGTAGGATCCTATGACTAAGAGGAAGCTACTGCCTAGTCCCCTTTCGTCCTATGTGGATCAGCCCCCGATACACTAGGATCTGTCAATATCTAATTCAAATATTTAAGGATTAGATCGTCTATAGGGTTCTCTTAAGGCTATTTAGTCGTATCCGCTCCCGGGAACTAGGGTGGAGTTTCTAGGATCTCCGGGGTTCCTAGAATCTCGATTAGTATCTTTAGGATCCCTTTACCCTATTCTTAGGAATCGTCGGATAGTTCCTAGGAGTCGATAGTGTTCTAGGGACCGTACTAGGTCTATCCTTAACTCTCGATATTCTCCTCTTCCTTAGGAGATTCTTCCTTCGCGTACGCTACGCTATTTAGGCCGCGGTATTCCTTATCTAGCTACGTAGTCGTAATACGTGGTTACTTAACCCTAGGTTCTTTTCCGATTAGTGGTTCCTCTATAGCCTACTTAGTAACCTAGTCCTTTAGGTGCTCGTACTCGTCTAGAGTTACCCTAGTAATCGTATCCTTTAGGCGCTTAGCCCCTTCTTAGGTAGCCCTAAGTTACTCCTTAGATTTATTATCCTAAATTATTATCTATTCCTCGTTATTAGTGGCTCGTAGCTACTAGGGTCGTACCTCGTCGTCCTAAGTCGCCCGTAGCTACTATAGCTTTACGTTATTACGTCCGTTATTACGCTTACGCGCCTATAGCTTCGCGTTATTACGCTTATTATTGTACTTACGCGCCCGATATCCTACTTTTCTATATTTAAAGTATAAGTTATTATCCTTACGTCGTTTTTCCTCTTCGGCGGGGAGTCTCGCTACGTTAAGCTCTATTAGTCGTAGTCTATAGGGGTCGTTATCCCTACTTAGTCGGTTTAGTCGCTTATCGTAGCGATAATACGATAGTCGGCTATTGCCTCGTTTCTATCCGTTAATTTCTCGTTTTTCTATTTATCGATCGTATAGTCGGTTATCGATCCGCACTACTACGTCGATAAGTTTTTCTATAGTATCTAGCCGGTCGATTCGTATAAGCTTGTCCTTAATATAGGACTTTAGTCCGTGGTCGTAGTATAGGATTAAAGCGTAGTCCTCCTATTATAGAATCGCTATAAGTTATATAAATTTAGCCGTATACGTTAATATAGAACTAGTTTGTCGAATACGCTTTAGCTTTCGTTTAGCGGTTTTCTTAGCGTTAATATCACTAAAAGTACGTTCTAGGTGCTATCTAAACGTAGTGTAGCTATTAAAGATACTCTAGGTAGTGCTTGACCACTCGGTGTTTAGTTTCTCGTAGTATTCCCGAATATAGGGTTTAAGCTAATCCTATACCTACCCTCGTAGGTAGGCGGATATAAAGATAACTTTACTACCTTCCGTAAAGAGTCGTCCTTTATTAACGTCGATATAGATGTCTATCTAAGTAAGGAATCCACGAAGCTTATGTCGAGTACCGTTAAAGGTCTTAGCCTTTAGAAGTTTAGGTGCTCCGACAGAAGTCGCTAGTGCTAAAGCGACGACTTAAGTATAGAGCTACTCTAAGTAGTCCTTTATACTTAATACGTATTCGTTATAGTTACCTCCTAAGAGGTTTAGGTTGCTTTGAAGTTCCTTAACGATTGCCTTAAGGTTTCGAATCTCGTTATCCCGTTCGTCGTCGGAGTCTGGTTTAGTTATAGGTGCTCTAGTAGGAGTCTTACCCTTAACGGTGCTGTCGTTGCCTACCATAATAACTTTACTTCACGGTTCAAAGACAGGGCGATTAATGTGTTACGCGTAGCCGACTAGTCACTATAAGTAAGTGTAGAAAGGGCAATAGTTACCTAAGTCGTCGTTGTAACCGGGTATAATAACGATATATACTATCACGGCTGATTCCGGCCCTCTCGGTATAACTTCGAATTCTAAGAGTATCTCTTAATCGTACCGTTGCCTCGTAAGGCCTTACTGCGGGATAGATCCTATTAAGTATCTTATAGAACGTGCTAGAAGTACGCGCTAAGTAAGTCAATCACTAAGTATTGCTACTAAGTGAATCCCCTACTTATAGGTTAGGTTGTCTTAAAGGTAAACTGTGAAGTGCAAAGTACTAAAGGTAGTAACTAAGTAACAATGTGTAATTAATCGCGAAGAACTAAATACATAATGCCAAATGAGTGTCCTTATATATCTAGTTCTTCCTATCACTGATAAGTCGGGACTCATCACTGATACGACAGGACTCATCGCTGATGAGTCTATCCTATCGCTGATAGGATGTGGTCACGTGGTTTACCGTGTTCTTGCATTTAGGGTGTAATCTGGGTGCGGGTGAGAAAGTGGCCGTTTCCTGCTTCGCGCTAACCGTCCTATGGAGTAAGTGGGTATTGATTGTGACGGTTAGCCGTAGGCCGATTCTGGCTCCTGCCCTGAACCCTTCTACGCAGGTCGACCTCAATGATAATGTTAGCGTGGTACTTCTATCCCTACTTCATGACTAATATTCTGCCACTCTTTTATTACGAGTCTGTGTAATTTAACCACTAGAATACATATTATTACCCCTTAGTAAGGCGTGTGTCCTCCCTGCGCATCGATAACAGCCTGGCAGCGCTTCTGCATAAGATCAATCTGTTGGTCTAAAAAGTTTATAGGTATCGCATCCCAAGCAGCTCGTACAGCCTCGCGTAAACGATCATAAGATAGCTTCCGATCGTAGTCTTTCAAGTATCGATCGCCAATCTAATCTTTAATCCAATCCCAAAGCTGCTCAATAGGATTAAGATCTGGCGAATACGGTGGCCAATCGATAGGGTATATCCCACGTTCGTGTAGTTCCTCAATCGTTAAGAGGTTCCGATGAGAAGGTGCGCCGTCTTGCATCACGATTAGATGCTTATTTAGATGGTTACGAGCCATCGTAACCATACCATCAATTAAGGGCACTATTCGCTCTGTATATTGAGCGCTAGTAATACTACCCCATTCTTTCTCCCAGAATAGACAAGGGCCTTTCTCATTACCATAGAATGAGCCCCAAAACATCCAGCCAGGTGCATGAGAGATACGCTCTCGTACACAAGTATCATCAAACTCCTCACCAGACCTACGCGTTACATAGATCCGTCGATGATAGATCGATGTAACCCAGGTCTCATCGGTCCATAATACCTTTTCCCACTGCTCACGCGTCCAATTAACATGCTCCAATGCCCAGATTAGACGTAGTGCTCGTGTTCGATCGGATAAAGGAGGCTTTCGAAGGGCCTTACATCGGTGATATCCTCGTCTAGCCAAGGCCCTTCGTAATGTCTCAGGGCTAACAGGAAGTTGTAGTTCTTGAATCACCCTCGAGTAAGGCATTCGTCGTGTTTCTTTCGAAGATGAGATAAACTCAATTATCTCATCAAGTTGTTCTTCCGATAGCTTTCGACTTCGGCCACAGGCCTTACGTGGTGTAGGCCTCTCATCACTACAGGCCTTTTGGACTTGGCGCTGGGTGATACCTAATTTGGATGCAATTTGTGCATAGGTATACCTCTGAGCACGTAGTGTACGCGCTGCGATACGCTGATCGCGGGTGGCCTTCTGACTAGGGGTCCGAGGAGCCTGGTCGGAGGACTGGTAAGAGATCTCGTTGCACGCTTGGTCATTAATCTCCATGGTAGGTAGGTAGGTAGGTAGGTAGATGGGTAGGTAGATAGGAGATATTTCTAGAAGAGAGGAAAGGGGTTGAAATGTGCGGTATTAGTCTAGTACTAATATAGAAGGCGGTTAGGGATGGTATTAGTCATGAAATGGGGATGGAAGTACCGCGCTAACATTATCATTGAGGTCGACCTGCGTACTTGGTGCCCCCCGGGGCCTGCCTAAGTATACCGGAACGCACGTGACGACGCTAATCCTTAGCGTCCGTGGGATGATTGGCTCACGGTTGCTACTTAAATAGCTGCGGCCCCCGCGCCTCTTTGAGGTCCGTAACACAAGCCCAGCAAAACGAAGGACGTCAAAATAGTGCGAAATGAAAGTAACCTAACTGCAAAAAGGATCATTAGACGACCCGTTTCAAAGGTATTTTAGTCACCAACAGTAAGGCCGGAACCACCGGAAAGCGCATGACAAATAATAACATGGTGAACTCCATTAGTTTCCTACGTCCAGCGGTACTGGCCACCCAATTTCTCCAAATTTCTAGCAGGGGTCAAGTGAGCCACAACGGGTCAATGGTGAACTCCGAAAGTCATATAGTCCATGTGATCTTCCTATCATACGGCGATCTAACCGATCGCACTAACCGGAGCACAGGCAGATTACCACAAGCGCCTGAACGAACGCGCCGATCGCAATTTAACGCTAGCGCTGTTCCCAAGGAGAATGGAACTCTTCCCTGGGCCAGGCATGGGGCCAAGGAGGTCCAAGACGAGTGAGTTAGTGGATTACCACAGGTTAATATAGTAATATTTGTACAGTTTAGTTTTACTCTTCTGTTATCATTTTACGAATGACCGACCAGACCTCGCCTAGTTATCACCAACTGTAGGCCTGAAATGGAGTTTCGAGAACAGAAGCATGGACGAGCAAGCTCGTAAGCCTTCGGGACGGTTCAGGAATGGGTTTTCCGAGCCCCTCAAAAGTCAAATCAATGCTCTATAGAGGATACTTTATAGTCTAACACTCGAAACTAGGATCGTTAAGAGCCGACGGCTACGGGAAGCGGAGAAAGTGGGCCATGGAGTGCACTCTCCGTCTAGGATGCTGTAACCTGATTTGGAGCTCCAGTTAGACCAACCGTACTGCGTAGCCAAATCTGTAAAGTTGGGTCGCTAAGTCTACAACGTGATCGATCCACTTACGCGGTCTAGGCTGCCGATCTGAGATAGCTTATACACATTTATTAAAGCGATAACCGAGTCGTTGTGGCCACTAGAAGGTCCATACACTCCTGCTGATCAATGAATGTCCTTCAATATTTTCCGTAAAGGATTAAAAGAAATTCCCTTTGCAGTACATATTTTGCAAACACTATGTACAAGATTGTCTCGCTTCTTCACTAAAAGAAAGAGGATTCCCTGTGATGATCTCAACGCTTGACTCTTCCGATATACCGTCAGTCAGCCCGTCTAGAACTAGTCGATCTGGCTAAGGCTGGTTATAACTCGTCAATTGAAAAGCTTGCGTTGTCTCTTGAGGCCTGGATTTCAGCTCTCGTATCGCTTCCTCGCGCTCCCGGAGGTTGGTTTCCAGGCTGGAGATCAGTTCTCGCTGGTGTTGATTTTCAAAGAGAAGATGACCATTCGCTCCTTCATTATTCAGCTGCTGGCGGTTGTGCTCTCCAGGGGCCAAGTACTGCAACAGCGATTCAATTCTTAGGTGTAATTCAGTGAGACAAGACTCGAGCTCCTGCACTTTGGACTTTTCAAGCCCCAAATCTCGGGCCATAACCCTACAGGCCTCTGCCATGTGGGCCAATGAGGTCTCAAGCTGCGATCTTTGATACTGCAGTCCACAAACCACCCTCTGTAACTATAGGGTATGGGCACGTAAGCGCTGAAATTCCGCCGCATCGCTATTAATCTTAGATTCCAATTGGACTTAGTAGTTCTTTAATTACCGCTCCTAGAGCAGGAGAGCTTCGATGCACTTAAAAATATTTTGGTCATTGTCCGCTATTTGTGTTATCATCTAGAATACGGTATTAGGTTTCAGTAGCTGAGAATATGCTGGTTTCCTACTTTACCTGTTGAGCCCCTTCTTCGGATGGCGACATTAGTGCAAAAGTCTAGAAAGACATTTCCACTAAACACCCTAATATGATTACTTTCTTTGTTTTCATCAAGTAGAGAGGATGTGGCGAGATCCATATACCTAGTATCCAAATGTCTCCTGGCCCTACTGCTCATAGGGACTAGGGTACCATTTAGGTGTCGCAGCACTATCTTGACTCACAGTGCACGTTTACAACAGGGAAATAGATCCCGCTATACTAAATTGTCGCGCCATCACCGAAATAGTGTCGCAGCTAGCTTAGGCGCCAAACAAACGGCCCCAAGCCCCTCGAAAAGATCCCTAGGTGCCGGGGGTTTGTTTGTTTCCATTAGGGCGGGGCGGGCGAGGGGGGGGGGTCTGTTCTTTCGTTTTTCTTTTTTTTCTCTCTTTTTTGTTTTCCAATAACAGACGCGAAAGCGTAGATCCCAACAATTATTCTTGTTATTGTTCTCCGTTACTTTTCTATATACCGATGGCTTTCAGTATTTATCAGTGTACCTTTTATAAGGGAAACGCCACCTAGGCAAACACATACAGTAATCATTCATTAGAATTTAGTTTCGAACATAATAGGCCCGCCTACAGGCAGAAAAATAAGTGGTACAGATACTCAATAAGCGCTAACTACAGTCAATCCCCTTTGCTGATAGTCCTGGTCCTTATAGTGGCTCCATTTCTGAATACAATTTAGGTGGCCCTTTTTCATATCTTACTCGCCTTCACTTACGTCATCGAGTAAGAAGAAAAAAATATAATACAATACAAACTCCTTCCCGCGTCGTATGTCTCTTAGACAAATTCCCAAGCATTTTACCAATCCAAGTAATCCGCATTCTCCGCCTATTACAATAAGTCGGTATCCAAACGGGCGCCTTAAGCCTATTTCTGAGGATATCACACCTATAGACCATCAAGTTCTATGCCTTAGGGGGACTTCATCCAATCTCGAGAGACTACCTTCCCGATTACAGCGCGCGAAGAGAACTTCCCCCGATCTGAAGACCAAAATAGAGGAGGTCGCCTATAAAATAAGCTATCTCAAGGCAGAGCTTTAATAGCACAAAGAGACCAAACAAATTTTATTGTAGCTTCAAGAACGGATGTATGCTGTTATCAATTCGCTAGAAGACGCTCTTTCTCAGGCTACAGCACGACTACTTAAATCAGAGCGGCAATATCTAGACCTCTAGCAGTCGGAGACCGGGGAAGTAGAGGGGGGCTACTTCTAGAACATATAGGCCATCTAATTCCTTCTATTTAGATAGAATCTAGCTAGTTAAAACAACCTGATGATTTGTGGGAGGTGTTACGATAATTTTAGTATTACAGTCATTTCAGTCATATAGTATCAAATAAACACGTCTCGAGTCTTTGATTTCCTTACGCACGGGTAACGCTAGCGATATAACATATATTAATTAATGGACAACTATTTCCCAGCAAAATCACAAAACTCTCTCATCATATCCTTCTCACGCTTCACAATTTCAAATAAGTAGCCATCTAGAGTTTTGAGCTTAAGATCCAGGCTCAGTATCTTTTGGTTCATATCACCAAGTTAATGGTTCATGCCACCTAACATACTACCTAACTGTTTTTCCATATTATCCACTTAATACGCTATAGCGTTCACATACTACTCAATACGGCCAATAGAGTTAGTATATACGTTTATCTTTAACTCCAATATAGTCGCTAAATCGCCGTATTAGTGAATCGTAGATGTGAACTTTTCCATCTAGAGAATTAGACGTTCGGCCGTTTAGGAAAAGTCAATCTTTATTTCATTTAAACCGGGTATAGGTATTGATAGGCCTCTGCATGGTGCGGTCTTGGTCCTCAGGTCGAGGACCGCGGACCGGACCGCACGGTCTTGCGGTCTCGAATTCGGGGGTTGAGACCGCACTATAGTGAACCGCGGTCCCTTACGGTCTTCACCACGGTGAACCGCAATTGCATAATTCTACTAAGACCTTCCCTTTTCGGCTACATAAATTAATGATCCATCCCATTTAATTACTGTTATTTAACACTGTTTTGGTCTCTTCATAAACATTTACTGTATTTCAGCATCAGCCACTATGAAAACATATAAAATATACTCGTATATAGAAAATCTACTATTTAAAATACCTAGACCTGCCAGTACTAGTATATTTCTAAGTTCTAATAGGGAGGTTTAGTAATAATTATTGCTAGCTAGGTGTTTGAGGCAAGAAATATATATTTCGATATTAGTACCTGACCCCATCTTCATCTGAGACTTCTTCGTTAAGTATACATAACCCCCTATATATAGCTAAAATAGGTATTAAAGGTATTATCAGAGAGCTTAGATTCTCTAGTTAAACTATTTATCTTGAAATTCTATATTCTACTACTAATATATTCTAATAATCTCTTTTCAAAATTGGTTTCTCTGATATAAAGTGTAGACTTAGGAAGAAAAGGAGGATTATACTATTATATAGGCCTTCTAGCGGTCCTTTTCGGTCCTATGCGGTCCTCCTTATAGTTCTTTACGGTCTTCTACGGTCTTTGCAGCCCTCTATGTGGTCTATTGCGGTTTTCCTACGGTTCTATGCGGTCTTCTACGGTCTTCGTAGCCCTTATCCTATCGGATCGTAGTAGAGTAGAGCCTACTGCCTAATCACTATTATAATTCAATTTGATCTATCTAAATCATGCCTATATAGTAGCTTTCTCCTAGAGAAAATCCTTTATTCAGCTTTTTCTAGTAGACGGAAATATTTTAGTAGGTATCTCCTTAAGTCCTTTACCTCCCCCCGTCCTATCTAATACTTATTTCGTCAAAATGTTACAGAGTCAGGCCTCCTCTTAGTTCTCTGATCGGTATCCCTCATCGGCTTTTAAGGATAATCCACGAGATACTTTCT